AGAGAGACAGAGAGACAGAGAGACAGAGAGACAGAGAGACAGAGAGACAGCGAGACAGAGAGCCACAGAGACAGAGAGACAGAGAGAGACAGAGAGACAGAGAGACAGAGAGACAGAGAGACACAGAGACAGAGAGACAGAGAGACACAGAGACAGAGAGACAGAGACAGAAACAGAGACAGAGAGACAGAGAGACAGAGACAGACAGACAGACAGAGAGATCATTTCAGGGTAATTGAAATTATTTTGAGTCATCTTGATGTAATTTTGTATTTGCAAGAATTTACGATTTTGTATAAATCCTATGGTAAAAAGGAGAAGGTATCGATATCTCGAAATATCGAATCACCGTATGCGTAAGGCCGAAACCGACGCGCCACAACGGTCGTTTCAGTCAATTGTATAGTCCTCGCCCGGAAACAAGGAACATCGGGTTATAGGCGAAGACCCCCCACCACTGCTCATTCCATTATCCGTGCATGAGTCGGTAGAATGGGGGGAGGTATCCGGCAAAAACTTGATGTTCTTTCTTTCCTGGGCAGGACTATATAGTCATCGTTCTCTTTCCGTTCAACTCGCATCATATCGGGGCCCGGCTACCGCTTCAGTGAAACGTGCATCGACGAATTACCATGCCATCGTCCAAAATTAAATATTCTTCCACCAAAGCCATTGACAATTTCAGTCCAAGGGCTTCACTCATGTGAGTATTTTTAAAAAAATATGCTGAAATTAAACAAATGGTGATATGGACACGTCCTTACCTCTCATCGACACGCGGTGAACATCGAAATTCATTTTGTCTTCTTTTCTAGGAAGATTATTGGATACGTAGATTGTATAGAAGGACTAAAAGAATTGCCAAAATCTGCCTCGAAGTGGATCCATAAATGCATACTGAACAACAATGATGGCAGGAGGGTTCGCATCATATTTTGGGGAGATGACGCCTTGAAATATAATGACGAGCTCAAAATGTATCAGGTATTGCAAATGATTCACATAATTTATTCTTAACCAAAAATGAATTATCTTCAATCAACAATTTTTTCTACCATTAAAAAATTGATTCAAATAATTTATTCTCAACCAAAAATGACTTATCTTCAATCAACAATTTTTTCTACGATTAAAAAATTAAACCTGAATTTTTCAAATTGGCAAAACGATATTTCTAACCTCTCAGATGAAAATTAGGAAATTTCCAAGACTTGGAAAAATCATTTTAAATAATCATTTTTTACAAATTATTCCTTTTCTCACTAATTTTTAAAATTATTGAATTGAGGACATGAAAAATGTCTTGAATTACATCAACAATTATTGCCATTCACTGAAAAAATTCATTAATTCGTTCACACAAACATTCATCTTACTATTAAAAAAATTATAATCACGGGAAATCCCGTCATGTTCTTTCCTCATATTTTTGATTAATAAATAATATTTTCCATCCGAATTTTTTGACCACTGAATTTTTTAAATTATCAATTATATATTCCTAATCCGAGGAACAAGCACAAAAATTGTGTGAAAAAATATAAAACATGAATGAAACATGATTATCATTTTTACAGATTTGAAAAATGATTAAATCGAAGACATTAACAATATATTTTCCTTTGAATCAACAAACTTTGCCATTCAATGAAAAAATGTTAGAACTCATTCAAACAACAATACACCGTATCACCAATAAAAAAATTGCAATCGATGAAATTTCAATAATTAAAAAAAAAAATTTGTTGAACCTCGCAGAAACGGCGACAAAAATTTGGTAATTAAACATAAAAGGTTTATGAAAACTGATTTTCTAAAATGAATTTTTTTTTTCAGATTTTAAAAATTACGGGAAGTACGATTAAAGAAGCCAATGCAATGTATCGAAGATCGGGGGATACAGTCGGTAACAAGGAGTTCCAGTTTGGACGTGGAAGTACCATTGAGACCCTGGGGGGCTTCAAAATTGCAAATGGAGCTGGTGGAGGGACAAAGGCAATAACGTACACACCAATCAAGATGGCAGAAGTGTGTGAAGCTCGGCACCCAGTTATGGTCACTGGATGGCTGAAAGAGCATTTCAGGAGCATCACAACGTCCAATGGGACCTCATACGGATGTGGTCTAATTTGTACTGAGGTTCATCAAATGACAGTCCATATTGCCACATTTGTCCCTAGAGAGGATTTGATCGCAGGGATGAAAATTGCAGTCAAAGGAACAATTGACCGTCGATTTGATGCTTTCGTCCTCCATACAAGCAGCATGGATGGAATAACAATTGTCCCCGGAGCTGAAGTCATGAGTGAAGATGAGATGGACGAGGCAGTTGAATCGCCCCCATTAGTTCTCAAGAGAGAAGTAGACGTATCTTCACAGCCGACAGACGAGAAAGTAATGAAAATTGTCAATTTATTGTCACAATATCTAAAATCTTCATTCGATCAATTTTTTTTCAATATTTTTTGAGGATTTAATATTCGTGGAAATTTTGCCTGTGATTTCTAGCTAAATTTTCTATGGAAAATAATTTAATTCTTTACACAACTCATTTGCACTTATACGCCAGAGAAGGACAAAAATGCAACATGAGAGCGTATCTCGCAGCTCGGTGGATTTAATACGGAAGTAACCCCATCCACCTGTTTTACCTCTACTTTCAAATTGTCGTGCCATATCTACAATATTTCCCCAACCGATATCACACCGATCTTTTCTCTGAATCCTCTAATACCAGTTATGTCCCATAGAGTGATAACGGTCGAATAGCCTCAGCAGCTAGAGCCACAAAAAAGAGGAATATCGAAGTATCGATCAGTTGAATGTTATCAATGGCGTGTTTCGACCAGCATAATTACTTTCATGAAAAAATTGTAAAATCATCTTTACTCGAGTGTTGTTAGGGATACCTCCCTGGGTTCTGTTTTGTATGGAGATAAATCTCCCTACAGTGAGACGGTAATAGAATCCGGCGGGGTAATTACTAGAGAAAGAGGTTTATTCAATTAGGCTAACTCATAATTATCCAGATGGAATAAATATGAGGATTTTACAGTTAAATTACAAGTTTAGTATTGAGTTTAACTCACGATGACGACTGAACTCTCGAATATCGGTGAGTTCACCTTATATAACAATTAAGCATGTCATGTTATGACACTGGTCACCAGTGTTACGCATGACATGCTGATTCAGTAAAATAATGAGTGAAGCAAGTTGTATTCAACTTCTTCACTTTTATTAAATACATTATTACTTAAGATTACAACATCATTCTGGGGCATAACATTCCTCCCCCCTAAGGAGGAAAATCCTTATCATGAGGAATTTTCTCCTCGAACAACAATTTACATTTTGTTCAGACATTACAATCAAATTACAACTAAATAGAAAATTCGTATCATTAGAAATTTTCTCCCCCAACAACCACTTTACATTCTGTTGAGATATTATAAGTAAATTACCATTAAATAGAAAATTCTCATCATTAGAAATTTTCCCTTTGAACAACAATTTCACATTTTGTTGAGATATTACAATTAAATNAAATTCTCATCATTAGAAATTTTCCCTTTGAACAACAATTTCACATTTTGTTGAGACATTACAAGTAAATTACCATTAAATCGAAAATTCTTATCATTAGAAATATTGCCTTTGAACAACAATTTTGCATTTTGTTGAGATATTACAATTAAATACGATATTTCCCACGAAATAATTCTCTGTCGAAAGACAAACATGCTAATTAAATGCGACATTTTGTTTTCATCATATGAACTTAACACATTCCGTACGTATTTTAGTGTAACTACTTTTTGAGCTTCAACTCCTAAAAATTTATCTTTTCTCAGAAAGATTACGCTGTCTACTCTGGATGTCAGTTCCATACAAATTTTAGTTTCTTGACCTCTTCTAAAAATTGAAATTCTTTTATTCAATTGAATTGTGTAAGATTCCTGAAATATACTTTTGATCGTTCGAGAGCTCAATTCTCTAGAAAAATCGAAAGGAAAATTCTTGAACTCGGAAATTAATCGATTTACGATTAGAATTTCCGATTTTATCATCCTGAAAAGTTCGATATTACTACAAAAATTGTATTCCTCGATATATAGTTGCATCTTTCTAACAAAATCTACTTCCAATTGTATTTGATGAATATTATTCTGCTTCATATACCTGAAGATGGTTGGAACGCACGCACGATTCCTTCGCCGCACTTGATACTGCTGGTTGAACGTTTGCTCAGCCGGATGAATGACTGAATATTCATTCACTGCTTCCTCACAGAATTCTATGAATTTCTATACACACCATCTTAAGGATTAATCTTAAGACCAGAGTTTTGAGGGTGAAGGAGGGGGTCCTGGAGTTTTCGGGATTCGAGGGTATAACATCTGGAAGGTTGTCTGGACCGACTGAAAGAATTTTTTAACGACCTAGGTTGCAATGTCGACACAGAGTGTAAAGATTCATCTCCTGATAATTCCTCACGATTTGCTGAATTTTTAGCTGCTAATTGTTCGTAGATCTTCGGTAGCAGTTCTCCATTGCTATCTGCAATACTTTCATGATCCGGTGTGACTGCTGGAGCATTTCTTCGACTTGGTTCATTTCTCTTCTGACTCTCTCGAGATGTCACGCCTTCCCTCCCTTTTTGAAGGAAAATCATAATACTTCGAAAGAATATTTCTGGATTTTCTCCGTTCTTCATGCGTTGGTTTTTACGCAGTTTTATTGAATATTTCTGTGGATCATGTTCACTCGTACTTTGATACTGCTGATGAAGCTCTATGATATCCGACAGTTTTCTTCGCCACTGCTTTTCGTCATTCGAAATNGTTTATGAATTTTCTCCGCTCTTCATGCGTTGGTTTTTCCGCATACTTTTCCTCATACTTTGATACTGCTGATGAAGCTCTATGATATCCGACAGTTTTCTTCGCCACTGCTTTTCGTCATTCGAAATTTTGACTTCGCCGGAAACGGTGGTTTCGGGAAAAATAATTTCACTGACGATGCCCATTGTAATGAGAAAGTGTTCTCTTTGTGGAGATCTCTATCGGTGTACTCGTAGGCGGTCAAAACTTCTCAAGTCGCACGAGTCTGCACCGAAAAAGTGTCTGCGCAGGCGATTGCGATGGTCGAAAGCATCTTCCTTAATCTCCTCAACATCCGAAGTTCTCCATGGACGACAACTAGTCCGTGTGTTACCGTCAGGATCGAGATCTTCGCCTAGGTTTTCTGGATCTCTATCTCCTATGGTGGTCATACACTGTTGTCCACGCTGCTTCAGAGATGATTGCCTCTCCATGAACTGCAGCTCGGTGTTTTCAGTAAGTTCCCTTTCCGTAGGATTTTTCAATTCAGTTCTTGCTTCTGGCGATGTCCATTCATCCTGTTTGATTGTTTCTCCTAGACCTACAATCACTGGGAGTATGGGAACGAAATCCTGGAACATATATTCCCCATGTGGATGGAGCTTCTGCAGTTGCTTTTGATGAGCCCCTCCCGTAGACCTTGTCACGTGCCGCTGGAGCCTTTGGACCAGAGATGTTTCCTTTGCAAACGGCTCGTTTGGGACGCTCCCGGTTATTTCAATTTTTTTTTTCAATTTCAATTTATTTCCTTGATGTTACAAAAGTTTTTCTTTGTTTTACATCTCCACAAGCCTCCTCCTCCTCTATTTTACTAAACATTTTATTAACATAGTGCTGTGCACATAACCAACATATACTATAATATAATATATTTTTCTTTATTTTTAACCTTTCCCTTCTTATTTACACCCCATTCCCCCCTTCCCCCACTGTTCCTCCATCCTTTTCTGGTTCTTCTCCACCCTTCTGCTTCCATCCCTCTCTTTGGTTGCGTTTCGCTTTGTCTACTCCTCTCTCAGCGCCTTCTCTATCCTTCCNACCATCCTTTTCTGCTTCTTGTCCACCCTTCTGCTTCCATCCCTCTCTTTGGTTGCGTTTCGCTTTGTCTACGCCTCTCTCAGCGCCTTCTCTATCCTTCCAAACCTATCACAGTTTCTCTTCGTAGCATAATCTCTGAGCTCCTCTATTATCCTTTCTCTCCAATGTCTTCGATTACTTTTCTGTCTCCATCTCTTCCACCATCTTTCATCATGTGGTCCTACTCTCCTCATTATCTCCTTGCAACTGACCACGTGCTCCAGTGACTCCTTCTCTTTCTCACATGCTCGGCATCTGTCATCCTCAAAGCCTTTCTTCCCTCCTCTTATTGCATTTCCACATCTCCATCTTGCCCAAGCCATTTTCTGTTCCATGTTTAATTTTCTATCCGTCCAGTACTCACACATCTCCGTGTTCTCCTTTATCTCTCCGTAGTGGTCACAGTATTTCGATTTTTCTATTCTCTCCCAATCCTTCTGTTTTTCTTGATCTTCCACTATCTCCACTATATCCTTCAGTCTTTTTTCTGCTTCTTCCTTCCTCCCCTCCCGCAGATGTTCCAGGAACTCTCCATCTCCTACTTCTCTCAGTCTCTCTATCACCCCTTGCCCCCAACTGGACGGTTGTCCATTCTTAATCCCCCTCAATTCCTCTTTCAGGCATTTTCTTGGCCATCTACTTTCTTCCATTCTGCTCAATTTTATTAGAAAAGCCGCTGCCCTTCTGACTGCTTCTACTTCTACACTGCTTACTCCTGCCTCCATTCTCCATATGTAGTCTGGTGTGTTTCTCGCCAGTCCCATGCTAGCCTTTGTATATTTCTTCTTTATCCTTTCTATGTTTTCCTGCCTTCTCCATCCCCACAGTTCTACTCCANTTCAGTCTCTCTATCACCCCTTTCCCCCAACTGGACGGTTGTTTATTCTTAATCCCCCTCAATTCCTCTTTCAAGCATTTTCTTGGCCATCTACTTTCTTCCATTCTGCTCAATTTTATTAGAAAAGCCGCTGCCCTTCTGACTGGTTCTACTTCTACACTGCTTACTGCTGCCTCCATTCTCCATATGTAGTCTGGTGTGTTTCTCGCCAGTCCCATGCTAGCCTTCGTATATTTCTTCTGTATCCTTTCTATGTTTTCCTGCCTTCTCCATTCCCACAGTTCTACTCCATATAACGCCGCTGCCTTCACCGTTACTCCCATGAAATACAGCCTCTTCCTCAGTCCTCTTATCTTGCCTCTCCTCATTTCTCCCCAGGTTTTGTTCACCAGCGTCTGAGCTTTCCCTGTCAGTTTCTTGGCATGTCTCGAGTATGTGTTTTTGGTCGTGAACCAGAAGCCTAAATACTTGAATTCATTCACCACCTCCAGTTTCTTGCCTTTGTACTCCCAACTTTTTTTCCTCCTTCTTCCTCCGTTCCTGAACACCTTTATCTTTGTTTTTTCCACACTCACCTTCATTTCATTTCCATCTGCCCACTTCTCCAATGTCTTTAACATCCTTTTCATCTCAGTTCCCTCCTCTGCCACAATCACTGCATCATCTGCATACATCAGGGTGAATATCTTCACCCCTGCCCCTGGTCCGATAGGCGTGCCTCCGTCTCCTCTCTTCTCCATCGCCTCTATCAGGTCTTGTATGAAGATATTAAATAGTATTGGGCTCAGTGGGCAACCCTGCCTCACTCCTTTCCCCGTCTGGAACTCCTCTGTCAATCCTGTCCCCGCTATCACCCTGTTTCTGGTGCCCTCGTAAATTCTCTGTGCCATCCTCAAGAACTTTCCTACTATCCCTATCTCCTCCATCTTGTTCCAGAGTTTCCTTCTGTCCACCTTGTCGAATGCCGCTTTGAAGTCAATAAACGCTACATATAATTTCCCTCCTTTCTTCTTGAGTCTGTTCCCGATCAGCGTATTCAGTACAAACACCTGCTCCATTGTTCCTCTCCTTCTCCTGAATCCGGCCTGTGCCTCTGATAGTTTTTCCTCTTCCTCTAGCCACTTACTCAGTCTGCGTGCCATTATCGACGAGAGGATTTTATATCCTATGTCCAGCAATGACACTCCTCTATAATTCGCTGCCGTGTTGATATCCCCTCTCTTGTGTATTGGGAAAATTGTGGCCAATCTCCATCTGTCAATCATTTCCTCTCTCCTTCAGAGCTCCTTTATTATCTCTATGAGTTCTTTCCTTCCCTCTTTAGGTAAATTCTTCCAGAATTCTGCTATGATCCCATCTTCTCCAGCTGCCTTCCCAGTCTTGAGTCCATTAATAACTCACAATATCTCCCAGTCTGTCAAGTCCTCATTCAGCTTCAGATCCCTGTCCTCTTCTTCCCTGGCGTCATTCCGTCCATCTTTCTGGGTCCCTCTTTCATCTCTATCCTGTCCAACTGTTTCTTCCTCAGCCCTCTCCCCCTGCTTTTCCTCTGCTTCCATCAAGCTCTTAAAGTGGTTCACCCATTCCTCCTCTGAGACCATGTTCACTTCCTTTTTTCTTCCCTGCCTGAACCAGTTCATTGCCTTCCACCATTCCCCCATTGTTTTGCTCGCTGCTACCGCTCTCTGTTTCTCTTCTATCCACTCGGCAATCAGTCTGCCTCGTATTTTCCTCAGAGACCTCTTGTGTTCGTTGTACCTTCGTTTGGAGTTCCAGTCTCTCCTTCTTCTGAACCTGTTCAAGCTTCTAAACATTTTCCTCCTCTCCTCTTGGTATTCTCCTGTGTCCNGGTACCTTTGTTTGGAGTTCCAGTCTCTCTTTCTTCTGAACCTGTTCAAGCTTCTAAACATTTTCCTCCTCTCCTCTTGGTATTCTCCTGTGTCCCATGCCGCTCCTTCTTTTTTCTTGTTGCCTGTCACCATCTTTGCTTCGTGTGCTGCTTCTGTGGTAATTTTGACCAGTCTCGCCCATCTCTCCTCCGTATTCTCAACCTCTTCAATTCTGTCCGTCCATCTTTTCTCCCATTTTTCCTGGAAGGTTTCCTCTCTTGTCTCTCTCCATTTCAACCTCGGTTCTCTATTTTCTCTCCCCTCCTCCCCTCTCTTCGTTCTCTCACTCCAATCTACCTTCAGTATGATTGGTAGGTGGTCCGAACCTTCTTGTTCTGCTATCTCCATGCTCCTGAACCACCCGGGGGCTTCCTCTTCCTCCAGTCTTACTATTATATAGTCCAACACGCTGCCCAAANATAATTTTGACCAGTCTCGCCCATCTCTGCTCCGTATTCTCAACCTCTTCAATCCTGTCCGTCCATCTTTTCTCCCATTTTTCCTGGAAGGTTTCCTCTCTTGTCTCTCTCCATTTCAACCTCGGTTCTCTATTTTCTCTCCCCTCCTCCCCTCTCTTCGTTCTCTCACTCCAATCTACCTTCAGTATGATTGGTAGGTGGTCCGAACCTTCTTGTTCTGCTATCTCCATGCTCCTGAACCACCCGGGGGCTTCCTCTTCCTCCAGTCTTACTATTATATAGTCCAACACGCTGCCCAAACCTGCCCCTTCTCCTATGAATGTTAGCTGTCCCTCCTCATCTCCTTCGGCCCTTCCATTCTAGATTAATAGTGCCCCCTCTTCGCACCAGTCCACGAGCTTTCTGCCTTCGTCCCTCGTTGTTTTATCCTGTGACCTCCTTTCTTTTATTCCTATCCTCTCTTCCGTTTCACATTCTGATATCCCTTGTAACTCTCCTATCCTCGCATTTAAATCTCCTGTGACTATCAATCTCTCTTCTGATCCTTCCAGGTCCTCCAACATACCATCCATCTCCTTGAGTACTTTTTTTAGATTCTTTCTATCATTATTGTATGTATTTATTACTACGTACCCATCCCTGCTTCCTTTTGATTTAATCGACATTCTCAGCCCATACGTCCACTCCTCCACTTTCCAGTCCGCTTCCAGTGTCTTGATTCCCATTAGGAAGCCTCCACTCGCCTTCCCTCATCTGTGTATCCTTATCGCCTCTTTGCCAAACCACTCGAATTGTTTATTCAGTCTGTCCATCATTTTTGCCATTCCTTTTGTCTCTAAGTGTGTTTCCTGAAACATCACCACATCCATTTCTTTCCACTGTTCCTCGTTCTTCCCTATATTTATAGAATTTTCTACATTCCAGTGCCACATCTTTAATATTCTCTCCTCTCCTTCCTCTCCACTGCTTGCCTGCTGTCTAAAAGGGCCCTCTCCTCTCGGTCCTTTCCCTTGCGACCTTTTGCCTCATTTCTCCTTCCACCTCATCCCACTCCAACCAGATACCATCCNTTGCCACATCTTTAATATTCTCTCCTCTCCTTCTCCTCCACTGCTTGCCTGCTGTCTAAAAGGGCCCTCTCCTCTCGGTCCTTTCCCTTGCGACCTTTTGCCTCATTTCTCCTTCCACCTCATCCCACTCCAACCAGATACCATCCACACAGATGCAGTTATATTTTGTCCCTGCCTGCTTCTTGGTCTTCCTCCAGTTTTCTGCTTCTCTTTCCAGCCATGCCTGTACCTCCTTCTGTCTGTCTGTGAGATCGTCCGAGATGTACACCCCCCATCCCAACTCTTTCAGCTTCGTTTTCTCCTTCATTACCTCTATTTTGCTGGCTCTCTCTTCCATTCTGACCGTCAGCCCTCCCTCCTCTCTTCTGTCCAACTTCTCCACCCTCGCTCTCACTCCAAGTGTTTCCCATAGCCAGTGCTCTAACTCCTCTTTCCTTGTCCTCGTGATTAGTGTTAATCCCTCAATAATCATGTTTTTCCTTCTTAATCTTCTCATCTCTAGCTCTTCCCATTCTTCTTGTGTAAGTTTCCTTGGTGGTGGATTGTTGAATCCTACCTCCTCTTCTTCCACTCCCCTCTCCTTTCATTCGACTCTATCTCTCTCAACCCTCTCCTTTCCGTCGCCCTCTCTCTCCTGATTCCTCTCGACCTCCCTAACTTTCAGTCTCTTAGTCTCATTCCTCCGCTCTCCCATGGTTCTGTGCCCTTGCCCTATCTGTGCTCTCTGGCCTCCAGGGCCCCCAACCCTCCTGTCGCTTTCGCTCCATGTGCTAGGGTCACCCCTTCTGCCTGAGAGGCTTCCAGACGGGCTCACTGTTCTCACCGTATTTGCTGGACTTATCGGGACATCCCTTCCGTCTTCTGTCGCGTCTTTTGTCTTCTTCAATTCTTCTCTTGCTTNAGACATCCCTTCCGTTTTCTGTCACGTCTTTTGTCTTCTTCAATTCTTCTCCTGCTTCTTCTGCTCTGATCTTCCATGTCTCTGCCACCCCTTTCCACTGCCTCACTTTTGACTCTAACTCCTCCACCTGCTCTTCACTCACTCTCAGTCGTTCCTGCGTGTCTCTGAGCTGATCTGTCAATTGATCCTCTTCCGACTCTCCTCTTCTCCTCTCACAATTTTCACACCGTATTTTCACTTTCCCTACTTCTNATTCTTCTCTTGCTTCTTCTGCTCTGATCTTCCATGTCTCTGCCACCCCTTTCCACTGCCTCACTTTTGACTCTAACTCCTCCACCTGATCTTCACTCACTCTCAGTCGTTCCTGCGTGTCTCTGAGCTGATCTGTCAATTGATCCTCTTCCGACTCTCCTCTTCTCCTCTCACAATTTTCACACCGTATTTTCGCTTTCCCTACTTCTCTCCTGATCAGGTATTCCAGGTCTGCCATCTTTTCTTCCCATTCCTCTTTCTGTTTTCTCTCCCACTTTTCCATCCACTTCTCCAGCCTGTCAAGCCCAATTTCCTCCCTCCCTGTTGGTGTTCCATCCCTGCTCCTGTTCCCCTCCATTTCCTCATTCTCTTCCTCCTGCCTACTCTCACTTCTGCTTATTTGTGTTGGGCTAATTGCCTGCGTCCCAATCTCACTCTATATTGTGTGCACTGTCCTTACCTCTCCCGCATTTCCTCCAACGGGTGTTCTCGGGAGGGTCCATGTCGGCTGGAGAGCCACTGTTGCTTTTTCCTCCTTCCTCCCCTCATTTCCACTCGTCCCTTTGTCCTCACTTGTCACTGCCTCTTCTCCTGTTACACTGTCCACATCCAAGCCCTCCTCAACTTCCTCACTTTCCTGTTCCTCTGACTGGTTGTCATGGGTCTCTTGGTCACTTTCAGGATTCTCTGGGACATCCGGGTCATCCTCCGGCCTTTCCCACTGAGAATTCTCCTCACCCCCCGTCTTCTCTCCCCAGAAGTCCTCCAGTCGCCTGACCCCAGAAAGTGTCCTGTCCTTCCTCTTCTCTTTCTTATCTTTCGGGTCCGTTTTCTTTCTACCTCTACTTGCTCTTCCAGGTGTCACCTCTTTTGATTTCTGTGCGTCTCCTCCTTTACCGGCTGCGTTTTCCCCTTTCTTGTTCTCCAGGCTTCTTAGGTTATAACTGCCGCTCCCCTTCCCCTCTTCCACCATGTTATCCGCCGCCATGTCCTAACCTCCTCTTTTTCTTGTNCTTACCGGCTGAGTTTTCCCCTTTCTTGTTCTCTAGGCTTCTTAGGTTGTAACTGCCGCTCCCCTTCACCTCTTCCAGAATGTTATCCGCCGCCATGTCCTAACCTCCTCTTTTTCTTGTCGTTACCTTTTATCTTATTTCACCTTGCTCTCGCAGGTAATCTCCTGTTCTTCACCTCCTCCTCGTTCTTCTCCTCTTTAGCTTTCTTTTTTTTATGTACTTATAGCCTCCTCCTACCTCTTTTCTTATTTTTTACCTGTAATAGCACGGAGCCGTATACCACGCGTCCTACTCAGTTCAGCGCCCCCTCGCGAATCCCGCTCCCGGTTATTTTATCGTTGATAATTACTAGTAAATTACCTTGATCAATGTTAACTTCTATATGTATTTTCATAACCGAAAATAAATAGAGTCTCCCTCTTGATAGATCAAGTTCTGTTACTCTGACCATCCCCTTGTCCTTAGAATAAGGGTATTTCAGGGTTCGTGAGTGTGCTTCTTGGAACAGGAGTCCATAACTTTGCAGTTGGTCGTCTCGAAATTCCAATTTTTTAATTCGTATTATTTTAATCGTTGATTCTTCCTCGCCCCATTCGTCTACAGCATAGGATCCGTCAACGTGAACGGCGAAGAATGCACGCGTTGGCGTCCTTCATTCGGCACAACGTCCGGCATCGGCTTGCAGTTTGGCACTCGACTGTGAGTGTAATCTGATGCCCGTCTCGTATAGTCTGTCTCTTCGACTTATTATTTGAAAAAATATTTCAATTGTTGAGGTGCTACCAGCTACCTCCTTGGTCTTTATTATCGCCTGAAACCAGTCGACGATTTTACCTCCTTACCAACCTTCGTTGAATTGTGAGGGTTTTTGAGGGTTTGTTGACCTTACAATTAGCATCACAGTTTCCGTAGTGATACTTGGCACCTTCTTGTTCAACCCACTGATTTTTATTGGTAATGCATTGCTGCAATACGATTGACTATCTATCAGATGATCCGTGTCGGCAGCTCCATCAGGTTCGCCCTGCCGTTCCAGCGTCCCCTTGCTCCGCCCGGATCCCTTGCTCTTTCCCAGCTGCCAATTGCTGATTATTGTACTCTGGGTTACCACAACGGCCTCCATGACCATTTGTTTACTCGATTGATTCTTGTGTGGCACCGAAACCAATCTACTCATGTCCAATAGAGTTCCATATTACCACCCCAGCGTCCTCAATCCGTGACCTTCAGGTGATATAGGATGTCTCTCCTGCCATACGAGAATTCCTATTAGATATATTCCCTCTGAAGTATCCTTTGGGTCAGGTCGAATCGAATTCCAATGGTCCCTGTTCGAACAGAGAAGATGATCAACTCCACGACTCCCTTTTTCCGTAGATAGAGCCGCGAATTGTCGTCTTGAATCTTCTCGGATCAGAGTTCGTGTCCTCCGATTGACCCCATGATAATTCTGCGATGTAATCAAATGATGATTTATAGACCAAAGTTCTATTCTCTTGAAGGATTTCGGGATCGGTACATTGGGTTTACTCAGATCTTCATTTACGTTCATTTCGTTGATTATCTTCTTCCGGCTTCTCCGTCCATCGTCACCCGAAGAATTTAATCGTCAGCAACTTTGATTCGAACGAGTTGTCATAGTTGAATATTTTACTCGTCAATTTCCCCATTGTACTCTCTTTTCAACGCTCTCCGTCAACTCGTGCGTCGAGGAATACATGCGTCAGCGTCCTTGGCCCAGTGCGTCGCCCGAAGTTTGCTCGCTGATGGTGTAATTCGATGGTCGCATCAAACCATTTCTTCACTTGAGATTTTATTCCAATTATTTCCACCACAGTATCAGTGCCACAAATTACCTCTTTAGGTTTCATTGTCTTCCGATACCAAACGATAATATTCCTTCGTTTTTGGTGTAAATTGACAGGAGTTTGGGGGTTCTTCAACCCTAAAAATCTCATGACTGCTTTTGTGAAGATCACTGACATTGAATTCTCCATTACCCTTGGAGCTTAATAATTTCCCATCTTCTTCCGGTAATCGGTTATTGCTGGTTGATCTGCAGACGACTGACTATCGTTTAGGTAATTTCCCCAAGTTTCGAGAATTTCATCCCAGAAATCCGATAACAACTTGTTGCTCATACGAGCCTTCTGTTTGTGTCTGGGATGCGCAGCATAATTTTCCTTGAGAAGACTTTCCCACGTCACTGATGACCTCCGAATATCCATAATTTTGGATGAAAGATTCTCAGTATCAACTCGGAGTAATGCGCATGAATTATTCGTCAGGAAATTACAATTCCCAACGTCTTCAAAAAGGCTCTGTTTGCGCTGTGATGAGGATGACTCGACATTTGTACTGGGAACCGATATGTTGACCATGGTCAAGAAGATGACGTCAGTCAGTGGAATGACCTCGGCTCGAGTCTCGGTCTTCAAACATACACCTGCGACGATTTCCATATTGTGCTGAATCTGCACTCTGATTTCGTTGCGACTTTTTGTTTGCAAACTTATTACACCTGTGATATTCCTCGTGGAAACCAACTCGTCCTCATGCTGCCCCGATACTCTCAGATTCTTTATTGCACTTGCCCTTTTGATTTTAGGTCCTTGTGCCCATTTCAAAGATTCATGAGAGATCATTATGTAGCCACTCATCGTGCGATGATGTTCCCTTAATTTCCTCAGTCGAAGGGTCACCTCCATCGGCATCGTGTTGACGTCATAATTCCTTTGAATTTTCCCCGTGAACCATTTAGGCTTAAGGGAAGTCCTCCGGAATTTGTTGTACAGCTTCGTTCGGAGATGAAGAGTAAAGAGTTTCCTCTTGTGAGAAATTACAGTCACAATCGAAACATTATTGACTGGACAGTTTCGTGTTGGCTCCTTGAACTCAATCTTGAATAATGTGCCCATACTACAAACATTGGAGAGGCAATGTTTTCCATCCCTCTGAGAATCTTCCTCGTTCAAACGAAGACTCTCAGAATCCATACCTCCTATACCTGCCTGAGAATCTTTCTCGTTCAAACGAAGACTCCCGGGACCCGCACTTTGTCGGTCTGTTCGGAACAAATATTCCTCCAATCGTTCAGGAGTATTCTTATCTATTGCCCAAGTGGCCCAGATGATGATACGCATTATTACGTTCCTCTGAAATTCCCACAACCCCGAGGAATTTCCGGGAGAATAATAGAATTTCCTTTTTTGAAGAGTCCCAAAGATTTTATCCAGCGTGAAAATAAATTCACACTCAGCCTCTTCTTCCGATGAGTTCCGGAAAATCCATGAATTAGGTTTTTCCCTTGAGTGATCTCGCTTCCTCTCGAATGGAGTGATTATTCCGGAAGGATTCGGAATGAGAATGAGCCTCCGATGATCCCCTCATTCCTCTTCAGCTTCCGTAACTCCACTCTTCTTGGGTCTCTCCTGACAACAAACAACAAGACTATCCCCGAACGTCTAGCCAATTTCTCCAATTTCTTACTGAACGGTAGATGCGCCAGATGCTCAGACGCCACCATCCCTGCGTTATCAGAGTGACCGCTATTTTTACCGAGAAAACTCATGTCTCTCGTCAGCATCTGACAATGCTGTCCTAAGCCTGATAATCCATTGGAAATACGGTTTTTCTCCACCCTCGACCATTCCCTTTTCAGCATCTCTCCTCCCCTCCGAGGAAGAAAAATCCGTTTTTCTGATGCGACTTCTAGGAACGAGGAACCGCGTTGACTCATTCGAAGAACGTCTGCCTGCTCATCCACCTCAATAGATGACTCTTCATGGAAATGTGCAATTTTTCCCCCACGTAACCAGGGTGATTGCAAATCGTAATGGTCTCAGTATCGGAAGCATTTGCTTGTCTTAAGTTTTCTCCCTCCGCTTCTGGAGTGTATGCTAATTGACTAATCTGAATCACTGCATTGCTGACCCTTGGTTCAGACCAATTCCGCTTATTGTGAATGGCCTTCAATCCAAAAAACCTTAGTGTGGAGCCATTTATTGGAATAGCCCTCCCTGGAATGATTCTCACACTCAGGTCCTTTGATTCCAGGAAATCTTGACCCAAAATATCTCCTGAGCACGGAAAGTTATCGGGAACTACGTGGAAAATGTGTCCCAATTCCTCCTGCTTAAAGCGGAAATATATGATTACTTTCCCAAGTGTCGGAATCTCTTGGTCAGCAATTCCTCGCAGCAGATTGACATCTTCAATCAGCGGAAATTTTTTACGTAATTTCCCCTTTTTAATTAAAGAAACAGCCGCACCCGAGTCCATCAAGAAAGTCGTGCGATTCCTGAGCATTGACGCTTCCAGAACAATGTGATTTCTATGATTCTCTGGCCTGGCTGGTCTTATTACTCGTTTCGCCCTCTGTGTACAATCCGAATGTATCAGGATGCTGCTTGAATCACTTTCAATCTGGTATGTCATAACCCTATTGACATTTCTGCAACGTGAATTTACCTTCCTAAGTTTTCCATTTTTATTCTCCTCCTTCTGTTTGGAATAACCTCTGTTCCTCATTTTAGCCTTGTTCCCCTTCGGNTACCTTCCTAAGTTTTCCATTTTTATTTTCCTCCTTCTGTTTGGAATAACCTCTGTTCCTCATTTTAGCCTTGTTCCCCTTCGGAGTAGCCTCAATTTCTGCTGGATCAGAAATTCTGAGTCGTCTCTTCAGTTGACGCAACCATATGCATTGTGACCCACACGTCTGCAATATTTGCACTTTTCCTGATTTTGACTCTTGATGAAATGTGGAGAATTCGAACGAATTACATTGCCGTTCGTAATTTTCAATGAGAGCCCGCACTCTGCAGCTGTGTGTCCCTCCTCTGCACAATTGAAACAAATATTCAATTTTGTTTTACCCTGTTGCCGGTACGTTTGCGTTACTATCGCCCTATCTTTGGGGCTTTCTCTTTCCCTCGGAAGATCTGGAAGATCGCCCGCCGCCCAGGCGTTGTCCTCA